GAAACGTTGGTTAACATCGACCAGACTACACAGCGCAACAACCCAGAAGACAGAAATCTTCATACTCATCGCCCTGATGACGGAGGCAGTATGACCTCCGAAACGTTGGTTAACATCGACCAGACTACACAGCGCAACAACCCAGAAGACAGAAATCTTCATACTCACCGCTGTGAAAACCTCAAATCTTACAAGATGACATTTCCTCTTCCTGTCAGGAATCAAACCCAGGTCATTATCATCATCATCACCAATTCCTGTTGTTCGTCGAGGAACATAGGGCATCAACAAAGCACCACCACCTGGTTCTGCTGACAGCCACTTCATTCCAGCTCTTTTTTTCTTCCAGTTCCTCAGCGTGGACAAATCTTCGCCACATCTGTCTGGGCCTCCCTCTCTTCCTTCTCCCCTGCAGATTCCAGTCCAAGACCTCTCTCTCAATGGCTTCATTTCCCTTCCTCAGCGTGTGCCCGATCCACTTCCGCTGCTTGATCTCCACGTGGTCATTCGACTGATTCAGGATGATCCAGTGGCAGGCCTTAATGGACCATAATAAACGTTCACGTTTTAAACAGTGAGGAATCCCTAAGCCATTTAAATTTCTTTTCAAAAGTGCCAAGCCAGTAGCCATAATAACCTGATCAGAACAGTAATCGCTTCGCATTAAATTCCGAACACCAGTGGGGCTTAGCTTTGTATGTCGAATAAGTATTTATTTTATCAAGTAATTGCCATTTTGATGGTTTATTCTGTTTGTCAGTTTGCAGTTAATCTTTTCCGGACCCTGCCGCCCTCAAGCAATCCGAATGGGGCCGAGTTTGACCCAGAAGAAGATGAACCCACCTTGGAGGCTGCTTGGCCACACTTGCAGCTCGTTTATGAGTTCTTTCTCAGGTAAAGTGTGATTCCTTATTTTCATAATTTTATGTATTGTGCTTGTATTCAAACACATTGGAAGGCAAGACAGAATGACTTTAAGGAATGCAAGCTTGAATAATCTTATGCTATAGAAGAAATGATATTTTAACATTGTACACCCTTAAATAAGTGACAGTTCTTTTAATTCTAAAAAATATGGCTGATAATGCCCAAGGCTATTTTTGTAGGTGGCATTTCAATCTTCTTTAAAAGAAATTGTAGAAGAAAATTAGACGTTGATAGAATCTTCTCAGGCTCTCAGCCACGTCAGTTTGGAGGAGAAGTCAAAAGTTTCAAAGATATCCTCTGCGTCCATCATTAGGGAATTATCTTGGTGGCGGCAGAAATCTCCGAAACATTGGACTTTGCTTCAAATTAATGTGTCTGATCTGCTGAGAGATTTTATTAATTAATCACGATGAACACTTCAAGTCTTATATAAAATTACACTCTGTTTGCATAATGCTTGGCAGAATTTATCAGGATATTTTTTAACTGTCATCTTTTTTATGTTTTGTTTTGTTTCTTTGCGTCGTTTTGTTCTACAGATATGCTGTAACATTAAGTACTATTATGAACCACGCATACTTCATCACATCCCAACCAAATAGAATTGTGCAGCCTGTTCTATCAGTTTGTCGTTCTGTTATCGGAAATCTAAAGGAATGTTCCTCTTCAGAAGCCATTTCTTTAAGTTTACAGTTAATATTATTTATATTGTATTTCAGCAATATTTAATTTAAATTGTGTATTGCCTTTTTAAGTAATTTGGTCGCGCTATTAATGTTGTCATTACATGATAAAGAAATAACTTCTGTTAACTCTTAATCGGCCATCCATCTTGTCATACGTCCAGTCCTGCTAGCTTTGCGTCAAAGTAGGGTACTGCAACACCGTTAGACACCAGAGAATGTCTGGCCAACAGCCTCTGTGATAATAATAAGTCCTAAGAAAATGCATTTATTATTCAAGGATTCCGTTGTAAGTGTCCATAAATCAGTTGTTTAGCCTCCAAAATTTCCAACAGTATCATGTAACATTTTCTTTGCCTCACAAAGCTTGTGATTAGTGTATATTCTGCACGAGCATGTCTTCGAAGGATATTCCTGATTTTAAAATTTGTGTAGTATACACATAACAAAATGTTTAATTCTTTGCAGATTTTTGGAATCGCCCGACTTCCAACCAAATGCCGCCAAAAGGTATATTGACCAGAAATTTGTTCTGCAGGTCAGTAACATTTATTGAAGTCGCTGGTTATGAAAGGGGTAGTTTGTTTTGATGGGCCGAAATAATATCTTCGACACACTTTTGTCACAAAAAAGGGCGATACAGTAGAAATGGCGCTCTTATGACTTTGACAGATAAAATCAGTTGCTCTCCCTGGTTTATGTGCGAGACTTTGAATTGAAAGATTAATTGAGCAGATTTACCGTGACTGTTATGAGGATAAACATTCCGAAACTCGTTCTCTATTATAACGTTTCTTAAAAAAGTGAGACTACGTAGTACAATAAGTTACATTCTTTTTAGTAAATAATCTCATTTAGGCATTTAATCTTTCGCTTCCTTTGGAATTTTGATATGTGTAGGTGTTTAATTATTTAATATACAAATCACATTCCAGTAGGTTAATTGAAGTTTACTGAAACAATGCAAGTTAATTAATATTAAACCTGAAATATCAGTAGACATAGTAAGGAAAGGAGGGAACGTAATGAGCCGGTTTATATAAAACTTGTTACTCTCGTTGTCAGGCTATGGGCAGAATGTTTAAATAATGATTACTTTTAGTTTTTAATTACATTAAGTCGTTGGTATTTTTAGTTATTAAAATGTGGGATCTCTTTTGTGATTGTGGAAATTAAATTTCTAGTTCCGATTTTTTTTTTTATTTATTTATTTGATCGATCAATTGAGGCTAACGTTCGTTGTTCCAGTTGTTGGAATTATTTGACTCGGAAGATCCAAGAGAACGGGATTTTCTGAAAACAACGTTGCACAGAATTTATGGTAAATTCCTGGGACTCCGCGCGTACATCCGAAAACAAATCAACAACATATTTTATAGGTAAGATTTCAGATGTTAACATTTTTGTACTGGATAGCTTTTTGCTGCTCTGTTCCTTACCAGCGTTGTATTCAGTCTGTTGTTCGCATTTTGGAACTTGTCCTTCAACATGTCTGGTACCTTTAAGAGAGTGGTGTCTTGTGAAATATATTGTGTTTGTTTTTAAAATATCATTCAAGTTATTAAGTTCTTTATTATTACTAAATAATATGCTGGCTTTTAGTAGCACCATCAGTCACTGATGTTGACCAAGAAGTGACCGAACTTCAGCCTTTAAAATCTGACACAGCGTAAAAGGTAGTTTCTAGTGCTCCATGTAACTAGTCCTAGAAGCACGGAAGGTAGGAATATTCTTCCGACTCCATGAACATGTTCATTATCCTCCAGCTTGTGAACTGAAATAAATGTGGCATTCTCTTTTGCATTTAAATTTTGTTTGTCTTTATCTGCAGGTTTATCTATGAAACTGAACACCATAATGGAATTGCTGAACTACTTGAAATATTGGGCAGGTAGGAGATTGCACCTTCGTACAGTATCTGGTCTTATTAGTGCACCATTTCTCTTTTTTCTTAGTGCGTGCCAGGAATATGTAATATTTCAGTAACAGTGATTTAAGTAATGTTATTAAAAAGCAGCCTACACCACCTGATACTCATTATCTGAAGTAGCAGCGATCAAATTCGCTGCTTGCGTGTGCTGCCTGGCTAGACCTCAATCTATATAATAGCTGCAGTAGACAGCGAAAAAGCCTGTGACTGGTGGATATGAAATTTGGCATGAGTGGTTATAAAATATGCCCGAAATCTTCACAAGTATTCTTCTTTTATGGCTCTCCGGTCCGTATTCGGTCCATGGCCTCCTCAATTCTCCTCTTCCATTCGGTCATCCGTTAGGTCCGTCTGTCCGAGGCTTTGATCGAGGTTTCGAAACGTCTTCCTTTTTACGGTGCAAGGTTGTTAGCCTTGCGACCAACCCCGAACCTGGAGGACCAGGGTACCTGTCTTAGTCTGACCTCTCCCCCTCGACCAATCTGGCTAGGGAGGCCCTACCAGTAGCTCTTGGGGTCACTGAGGTACTCAAGCCCCACCACCACCACGAGGTGCAGGTACCATTAAGTGGAGATCTTCACAAGTTTGGTGATAAAATCAGTTGAAGGAGTTGCATTTTTCGTACAAATTCTTTTTACTGTATTTACTTTTGCCATATGAACTGTGATTGCTCACTTCATAAAGTGATTTGGTATAGCTAGAGTTTTCTCGTTATCACAACATTTAAGCACTGTTCTGGAGTTCACCAAGCCTATGAAAGGGTACCACGGATGCTTTCGCAGAAATAAAATGGCTGGAGCATGAACCTGGCCACTCACCTTTATCCGCTGCTTAAGCTGAAAATGTTCCAAGCGTTTACGTACGCTCTCCCTGTATGTCTTCGTACATGGATATTTTTTTTTTAATTCTTACCAAGTAAGTTTGATGTACGTTAGCAGAACGTTTGACTCTGTTGCAGCATTATTAATGGCTTTGCCCTGCCTCTGAAGGAAGAACATAAAGTGTTCTTACTGAAGGTGTTGCTACCGCTACACAAGGTGAAGTCGCTCTCAGTGTATCACCCGCAGCTGGCCTATTGTGTGGTACAGTTCCTTGAGAAGGACCCTTCCCTCACAGAACCTGTTATCAAGTGTCTGCTAAAATTTTGGCCCAAGACACACTCGCCCAAAGAGGTAAGATTGCAGAGTGTAGTGCGCGCTTAAAATATAACTTCTCTCACAAGTCACAAGTTGGAAGTAGTTTTTTTTATTTTATTAATATTCTTTACATATGTGAACATAGGTCATCCATATATGTAATGTATAAATGATAGTAAAGCAGGTTATAATATGTTTATCTTGAACTGGGTTTATTTTCTCTTCTCTTCTTTCATTTTCTCTCTGTCTCACCTGATCGTGGCATGTTACATATTGAGCTTCTTTCTTTCTTTCTTTCTTTCTTTTCCACAGAAATTGCTGTCGTTGACTGTGAATCTCTGTAATAATCCTCATTATATAAAAGGATATTCTATTATTCTGTTTATTGCATCCTGATTGCCTATGTGATAGTACTTTTCAGTGACTTTTCCTTTGCTTTTTCCACTTTAGTCCTTAACACTGTGAGCACTTTCCCTGTAAACTATACATCTTCAGCACTGAAGATGGAGACAGTTTGTTTCTCTGAAACCATTGGTATCTACCTACAAGTCCGCATTGCAACCCAGAAGACCAACTGATATCTTCACCTATGTGAGGACCTCAAATCTCATATATATATATATCTAGACTTTCCCCCGCTACAACTTTTGTTTGCTTGAATTGCTCTTTGTTGTATTTACATTTGTGTCCTGCTTTTCTGCTTTACATTTCACACAGTTGCTCTTTGTTTTTATCGTCATTCATCAGCATCTGCGTTACAGTTTCTCTTGTATTATACTACACTCTATTTAATAGCAATTAGATATATTTTTGCAGTATTTGTGTTTTTTTGTCAGGTGATGTTTCTGAATGAGCTAGAAGAGATTTTGGACGTTATCGAACCGGCAGAATTTCAGAAAGTGATGGATCCGTTGTTCCGGCAATTGGCTAAATGCGTCTCCAGTCCGCATTTTCAGGTCAGTACACTTTGGCTGTATATGGAAGCTCGGTGTTTGATTCTTGTTTCTGAATTTGTACTTTTGAATTTTGATCTTGAATTTTCCTGGCCAGTGATTAATTGTGTCTGGGAAGAAATAATGCATCCTGTATGGATTAAATATTCCTTAGAGACATGGGATTTTTGTACCTTACGTTAATGAATACCAACCTAACTTGCAGAAGACAGTTTAGTCAGATTATCATTTGCAAAACGCTAAATATTATTGGTGGCAAGTATGTTTAATGTAATTTGATGGATGTCTTGTGAAATGCATGTCAGAATTGGCGGTTGTGTGTTTGTTGATAAAATTTATTACTGGTTTTCCTTTAATTTATTTAATGCATAGTTTTCTCTGTATCATTTTGGGTGTTGTCACTTCAGTAGAGCCAAGAACAACTTGCGAGTCCATGCCTCTGTGTGCACATGTGTGTGCCATTGTGTCACTTTTCCTGTGGGTTTATATTACATGTTGGGTCTTTGTTGTGCGACAGTGGGAGCCCTTGGTTCCTGTTAATTAACGCAATGTTGTAACAGCATGGGGTCCGCAATGGCATAGCAGTCTGAGGCGTGGGCCTCGTGCCGGTTGTTTACTGGGACCGTGGGTTCAAATGCCACTCAAGCCACGGATTTTTGTCCGCGTTTTTCTGTGTTGTGCTGTCCTGTGTACAGGTAGAGGCCTTACGACGAGCCGGTCCCTCATCGAAGGAGTCCTACCAAAATATCTATAGATCAAGCCAACAAAAAAAAAAAAGTTGGGACCCGCAGTGCTCAGGCACTTGAAGAACGGGTCGTTCCCAGTATCCGAGTTATACAGCATATAAAAGACAGGTCATTAATTTTGGAGCACATTGATATTCCACAACAGTGACCTTGTTCACATTAATGGAAATATGATTGAAGACGCAAGATCATTCATCAGTTGATACAGCAGTAACTTTCATATCCACATCCTTCTCAGTGTATATAGTACGCCTATTTACAGGACAGAGATAAGAAGTGTTGCTTTGTCCCAGCATATGGTATTCTATTTTCCTATATAGAATGGAATGACGAACACGACTGGGGGACAGACATATCTGTACAATCAAATCGAAGAATTCAAATTTTGGATTATACCTGTACTTAAAAGTAGCATCTAATTTTCTTAGATTTTGATTAAAATATCCTGGTTGAGATTTGTGCAAGCTTAATATAATATAATATATGAAATAATTGTGTTAAACACTAAAATTATTCAGTTCTGAAAAAAAGTAATTTCAGGATGTAATTAGATGGTTAAAAGATTGGATTAGAAGAAAGGTGGGAACCCATTCCTGGTCCTCACCCTTTCTTGTGTGTTTCATTTAACTTCAGTAATTTCTTGGTGTGAGCCATTTCTCTAGAATGCATGAGTTTCCTTTTGATGAGTGTGTCCTTTTTATTGTGTTACAGGTTGCAGAGAGAGCACTGTATTATTGGAACAATGAATACATAATGTCTCTAATTAGTGATAATGCTGCAGACATCCTTCCCATTATGTTTCCGTCACTTTACCGTAACTCTAAATCGCACTGGAATAAGTGAGTGTCCTCTGAGAATATTATTTTACCTGTGGCTGATCTTGTGCCCTGTTGGTTTGCTTGTTTTAGACCTGTTTCTGGTTTTAATTTCAGAACAATACATGGGTTAATTTACAATGCCTTGAAACTCTTTATGGAGATGAACCAGAAACTCTTTGATGAATGCACACAGCAATACAAGCAGGAGAGACAAAAGTGAGTACCTTTGCTGCCCCAGAATGGATGCCATGAAATGAGAAATGTGTTCTCAGTTTGGAGTATTCAGTGCAGAGTGCCTCTTTTTGATACCCATGTTCATTTATTATGGACACAGGTGTGATGTTAATACTCGTAGAACTGAAAAAGAGGATGTTCATAAAATAAATTATTTTGTTAAATAAAACAATGTTTTGATCGAAAGTTTAAAGTCTTCTGGGATGTTGCACTGTAAGTCTGAAACTGGAAGTGATGTAAGGAAACAGCTTGCATCATGATTCCATTCAATCCTAATTTCCTGGTATTTTTAAAAATGTGGCTTTTTTTCTAACTTACGTTAATTTCATATATTTATGCCAAGATGTCAATTTGTATGCTTGATTTAAAGAAAACATGAATTAATGACTTTGCCAAGATGTTTGACTACTCTCTACAGCAAAATGAAGGGGAAGACTATACTTTGCTCGGACATCCGTATTTGTTGGTAGGCAGGTTGTCGTAGTTGGGGGACTAGCATTGATGTGAAGGTTGTATATTCAAATTTGAGTCATGATATCAGCATATGTTGTATTTGCACTGTGCAGTTCAGTTGTATATTTCAAAATTTCCATGTGGAATGCATATCAAGAGCAGAGTTTGAAATGGATTCTGAAATTCGTAGCCTGTGATATTTGAAACAGAATGCGTAATTATTATTTTTCTGTAAAACATAGAAAGTCAAATAACTTCTTTTAATGAGCATTCCAGTAACGCGCAAAAGCGTTTGTCCATATTATCACGGTATTATTTGTGCTGCCTTGCTGTGGCCGAAATGCAGAGGAAAGAGATATTTCATTTAGCTTTGCATGATTTGTTGATCATCGGCCTTCTGATTTAAAGATTCAGTGTTGGAATCTGACTATAGACTAACAGTTTTATTTGCAAGAAATACTTATGGAGTGATTTTGTTTACTTACGAAAAATATGAGTTATTATGAAAGAGTTGTTTTCAAGGCCTGGCATCTTTAATACGATGTCCAAGATCACTAGGTGCATGCTGGAACAAATGAGATCCATGGTTGGAGCTTAGGGATTTGTATTGAAGATGTCAGGTCTTGAAAATATCCCTTTCAAGGTTTATCATACTAATTCGTAGGTAATCATTATACTTTAAGAAACAGCAATACTTGTAAAGTATGTGCTTTTTGCAAGTAAAATTATTTGTCTGCAGTTTGATATCTTTGAATCAGAATGTTAATGGACAACAGATCATGCAAATACAAAAGAAATACGCACTTCCCTTGCACTTATCACCAATGCAGCACAAATAATAAAGTGGTATTATTATTATTAATGAGTGTTCTGTCTTACGACAGGTCCATTGCTCTGCCCAAAAAGAGCTCTCCAGTTGTCCCTATTCTCGGCTTCTCGCTTTAATTCCTGGAACGTCATCTTCTTTCCTTGTTTAAGGTCGTCGGTTAGCTGTATCAATCTTCTTCCTAGTCCTCTCTTTCCTTCAACCTGGCCTTAGGTACTAATAGTTGCAGATTTTAGTAACTGCTGCACAAAATATCGGAATTGGATGGTAACTGAATTCTCATTGATGATAATTCTGACTACTGTGTTTCCTCTGTAACAAGTTATTGGACTACATATGCTTTACAGAAAACAGTAATTTCACATTTTTGTTCAGTATCACGATTACATATTTCAGTATTCGTTTCCAGTTGCTCTTTGCATGAATTCCATGTGAAAATTTATGAAGAATGTAATTTTAATAATATTCTGCTCTGTTTAAATGAGTATCTGTGTAAATACAACATATGCATTGAAGAAAACATGCTGATATCATGACTCAAACTTGCATGTTTGATCTTTGCATTGATGCTAGTCTGCTACCTCACAATTTTGTCTACCGGTGAATACGGATGTTCGGGCAACATATAGTCTTCACCTTTGTTTTGCTTTGGAATGTAGTCGTCACATGTCTTGAAAGAGTCGGTAACATTGATTCATGTTCTTCGAATTAAGCAGACACATTGCTGTTGTTCCTTAATAAACATGAGGCAAAAATAATTGTAATTAATGGAAAATATAAATAAATGCCACGTATGGACATATACAAGAAAATTATGAATGTCTGGAATTAATATAAGAACTGTATACTTACGTCACTTCCAGTTTTGAAGTTTAAAAATTTTTGTGTCACTGAATGTTTCCAACACCTTTAATGTCGAGCTGTCAAACAAAATGTAACCAAAATATTCCATTTATTCAGAACTTGAGATACATTAATTATTAGGCCTTACGTCTTCCTTGTGCACTGCACAAAGTGCAAAGGGCACAAAAAACTGATAAAATGCTCAGAACATCTTTCATACATATTTCTAGACAAAAAAGTAGATATGGACCTGCAGAGAAAATTAGTTTTAAATACAGTGGATTATGGTTAATTGGGACACGTCGGGACTAGAACACTTTGGCCCAATTAGGCGGCTGCCTCGATTAACTGGACTCTACTATATATGGAAGTATTCATTTACTGTTGAAGTTGTTCACAAAGAAGCAGGGGCCATAATCTCATGCTTGGGATATTGAACACAGAACATCTTAAGATTTTTGATGCTGCTTTTTTTTTTAAAAAAGTAACCATCAAGGTCAATATAATTTCTGTTGTTGAAAAGCTGGGAATAGGTGACCTTAAGTTCGAGAGGTGGTGTAGCGCATTTTTCACTAATTTTCTTGGACCCAAATGTCCCAGACCAGAAGGTTGAGACAGCCCATGCCTAGCATGAAAAGGACTAGTAGACAACAAATGGTCTCCACATGAGGATGGGGACAATTAATAAGCAAATGTTAAATATCATCGTGGATTATTTTCTTAATCACCAGCATTAGTACAGTGTTGGAATTAAATGTGAAGTATTTATCTTTGTAATTTTTTTCATTATTTTCTGTAGCTACTTTATTTTGTTCTAAAAATTGTACAGTAGGGCCCCGCTTTTCGGCGATCCGCTAATACGGCGCTCAACAGCTGAGTCAGAGAAGTGCGTCCGGCGCCATTTTTTCGTCGCTGATTCAGTCTGTTTACAGCTTTTGTGCGCTCCGCGTGTCTCTGTATTTCTAGCAATTCAAAGTTATTACAAACTGTATATTTATATAATATTTTTGTGTTACTTTAGTGTAATTACAATGGCGTCTAAGGGTAGTAGCGATAAAAAGAGGAGTCCTAAGCCTCTTACTTTAAATGCCAAGTTAGAGATGATTAAAGTTCGTGAACAAGGCATGTCTATGCCCGAGATAGGACGTAAACTAGGCATAGCTCGCCAAACTGTTAGTGCCATCGTGAACGCTAAGGAGAAAGTGTTAAATGAAATTAAAAGTGCCACACCAATGAACTCTAAAGTCATAAGAAAAAGAGATGGCCTTATTGCCGACATGGAAAAACTTTTATTTGTGTGGATTGAAGATCAAACCAGCCACAATGTGCCTTTAAGCCGAGGCATCATCCAGGGCAAGGCTTTAAGTCTCTTCAATTCTATGAAGGCTGGGAGAGGTGAGGAAGCTGCTGATGGGAAATTCGAAGCTAGCAGAGGATGGTTTCAAAGGTTTAAAGATAGAAGCCAACTTCATAACATTAAAGTGCAGGGTGAATCAGCTAGTGCAGATACAGAATCTGCAGAGAGGTATCCACATGAGCTAGCTACGATAATCGAAGTGGGTGGGTACACTAAAGAACAGATTTTTAATGTAGATGAAACTGCATTGTATTGGAAAAAGATGCCATCCAGGACTTATATTGCCAAAGAAGAGAAGTCAGTGCCTGGATTCAAAGCTGCAAAAGACAGGCTAACACCCTTGTTAGGGGCTAATGCAGCTGGTGATTGTAAGTTGAAGCCTATGCTCATTTATCACGCAGAGAATCCTAGGGCACTAAAGAATTATGCAAAAGCTCGCCTACCGGATTACTATAAATCCAATCCCAAAGCATGGATGACTGGTAATCTTTTTAAAACTTGGTTCACGGACTATTTTAAGCCTACAGTTGAAGCTTACTGCAAGGAAAAGAAGATTCCTTTCAAGATTTTACTTCCTTTTGATAATGCCCCAGGACATCCTAGAGCTCTGATTGGCATGTATCCTGAGATACATGTTGTTTTCCTCCCTGCAAATACACCTTCATTACTGCAGCCTGTGGACCAAGGTGTAATTGCTAACTTTAAAATGTATTATGTAAGGATGACTTTCGCTAAGGCTATAAATGCCTCGGACAGTGATACATCAGCAGCATCAAGAGAAAATAAATTAAAAGCATTTTGGAAAGGTTTCACCATTCTAGATGGTAAGTTAAAGAAAGTACTCTTACAGGCGTTTGGAAGAAACTAATTCCAGAACTTATGGAAAATTTTGGAGGGTTTGCAAATCCAGTGGAGGAAGTGACTTCAAATGTTGTGTAAATGGCAAGGGAGTTGGAGGTCGATCCTGAGGATGTGGCAGAATTGCTTAGGTCTCATGATCAGCCCTTATCGGATGAAGATCTTCTTCTGCTTGAAGAGCAAAGGAGGATTTTTCGAGAAGAGGAGTCTCATCTTGATGATAATTCTGATGTCCCGAGAGAAATGACAACCAAGGAATTGCAAGAATATATCAACCACATAGAAATTGGAATAGCAGGTTTTGAGAGAATAGACCCAAATGTTGATAGAAGTTCTAAAGTCAAAGTTACTCTTCTAAATGGTATTGCATGCTGTAAGAAAATTCTAAGGGAAAGGAAACATTATTCTATGAGGCAAAGCTCATTGCTTTCATACTTTAAGAAAGCACCAGCCCCATCTTCAACTGCAGAAATTTCAACTTCATCAGCAACACCAACCCCTGCAAGAGCTTCCGAACCATCACCAAAACGAATAAGATTCGTTGAGTCAGATGATGAAGATGTGCCATCTCCTTCATCCTTCCTACTATAAGCATATTAATTTTCAAATTTATATTCACCAATCACTATAAGCTGAAGACGAAAATATTTTAAGGTAAGCAATGTGTGTACTACTGATATTCATTTTACTTTCATGTCGTTTTCTTAAGCCTAGCGCTATTGTGCACTTACTATATGATAGCGTAAACATCTTATTAGGCTTTGATTTGCATTTGCAAGTGAAAAAAGGCAAAGATCCGCTTTACAGCGGGGGTCTGTTCCCTACCCTGCCGTATAAGCGGTGCCCTACTGTATTATACAGTTTGCATATTCTTTCTCTCGTGTTCTCTTTTCTCTTGCAATGAACTGCATAATTTTAATGTACGAGGTTCGTCCACAAAGTAAGTTTCCCTGGGGCCGTTTACAGAAACAAAACACAATTTCATGGAAATATTTATTGCAACAGATACAGCAAGTGTCCAGCTATTTTTCAACATATTCGCCACCGGAATTGAGACATTGGTCATACCGTGGGACCAACTTTTGAATACCTGTGTCGTAGAAGTCGCCCGCCTGGGATTGGAACCACTGTGTGACAACCATCTCCGCCTCTCTGTCATTCTCAAAACGCTGACGCTGACCGGACAGGAATTTCTTGAGGTGTAGGAAAAGATGGAAATCACTGGGAGCGAGATCCGGGCTGTAGGGTGAATGATTAAACACCTCCCAGCTAAACTCCTGCAGGAGACTTGCTGTCCGTCGAACCGTGTGCGGCCTAGCGTTATCACTGACCGCACTTCACAGGCGGCGGGAGCTGGAATAAGAACCTCCATCTTCAACAGCCGCAACGATGCTACTGTGAGAACGCGGGAAGTACCGTTAGTGCATGCGCCATGCTACGTCATTGCTCTATCACGTACGCACAGTCGCTTCGCGCAATATAAGGTTTGCTAGCTGTGGGACGAGTAGGAAACTTACTTTGAGGACGCGCCTCGTATTAAACACTATCTTGGATATGTTACCATTCTCTTAGACATAGGGTTCTTGGAAATAAGTTTTTAAATTTTAAACAAAGATTAGAAGAGTAAGTTTTCATGGTTTTGAAAAAGACTGAAGTTCTTCATCACAAGAAATTATACTGCATTTTTTATTTCTGTGTATTGCGGACCCTTATCATTTTTTAATTACGTTGTACTTTCCTGTGAAGACCTGCTCTTTGTTATCATTCTTTTTTCTTGTTAACACCATTTGAAGAGAGAAAGAGCGCCAAAGGGACCGAGATGAAGCTTGGACGCGAGTCGAAGAGCTAGCTATGAGGAATCCAGGTTATGCCCCTTCGCGTACCAACAGCATAGACAGCAGCATTGGTGATTTGAGTTCTCCTCTGGATGGTGATGCTGAAGATGACATGACCTATGAGAAGCTGGAAGCCGAAGCTAGAGAGGTCAATGATACATAATATACTTTTATTATAGTTGGTTCCATTTGCATCCAGGTGTCCAGCATAAGTTGACCAAAATGTTGTGTAACTTCGGAGAAAACAAGTTTATCCATGGCAAACTGAGGAACTATGCCTCAGGGCCTTTCTTAAAAGTTGTTTATCAAGAAATTTTCAAACAAAGGTTCACAGTTTCCATTATTGAACACGGGTTTGAGGTTCTGTGTCTTCACATCCATCTCTTGTAGAGCCTTTTTAATATTATCCTCCTATCTACTCTTGGGTCTCCCTTGAGGTTTTCTAAGTTAATTTTTTTTCTTCCCTCGTTCAATTTATTCCCCGGCCATCTTCATTTAATCACCTTATCATATTAGTTATGAGTACAAACTATAAAGCCTCTCGCTTAAAAGATGGGGGTCTAAATTCTGTATGTTTACTTGTTAAAATTTGTATTTCTGATATCTCTTTACAACAGTTTGAATTTTTCTCATTTCTGTAGTGTCATAATATTCAAATTCCCACTTAAACATGTGACTGACATACTGTGCCGTTCTTTTGTCTCTTTGTTTTATGGCAGCACTGATGATGTCCTGTGTGTGTCGTACTATGCTGGAAGCCTGGTTTATACATTTCACTGTGCAGCTATTAATCAAGGTTTTCTTCATCAGCATTTTAGAAATGTTCGACACATTCACAAATTTAGCAGTTTCAGATTGCTTAATTCTTCATTTAAGAAATGGAATAAATTATCATCTTCCATTCATGATCAAACAAGTCTTACTGGGTTTACATTAGACCACATCTGAGACAATACAAAGTATCTAATAATGATATTTGTTTCTAGAATGCCTTTAAATAAAAATTTTCATCAGCAGTATTTCTGAGAAAACTGCTTAATAGTAGTGTCATTTTATGCAGTCATAACCATGAACCATGAGCTCTGTTTTGGATATGACATTTGGGAGGGGGTTTGACAAACATCACTTCTTTTTGTCTTCCCCCTTGGAAAAACTAAAGTCCTGGAACGAATTTTCAAAAGCCTCCATCCATCCACACTCCAATTTGTGGTTTTCAGATGTGATTCCACAGCATGCGACTGAAGGGAATTTTTTAGGTCATGTCTGGGGACAAACTTTCCTTTTACAAAATTAAGGGTTCTTGGGTTATTGTCGGTAACCTTTTCTAATATTACCCAGTCTCGTGGGATTGTAAGTTTGGTCTGGTTTCATATTTATGTATATTACAATTTTATTAAATTCATTGTGTATTGAATTGAATGCTGCTGCATTTGCACTAAACTGTTTCCCATCACAACAATTTCATGAATTCCACACTTAAATTTGGTCAGCTGCCCAAATAGACACAAAACTTTCCTTCTAGTGGCAGTGCTTCGTGAACTAATTTGACTGATGTTCCTCTAATTTCTGGTTCAACACTGAAGTAAGGTTGCATTCAGTCTCTCCGTTAGTACGTTTATTTAATACAATGGTTTTATATTTCCATAATTCTTCTCCCCACCATTGCTAATGTCATGAAAAGGTAGGTACAGTTTATGTTAGAAACTGCGTGTGGTTGGATGGATGAATGAATGAATGAATGAAGTGGACATGATAAAGACCAGAGAGTGGTTCTTACTGTGGTAGTTCACAAAAGTGATTTATTCTTACAAAATAAATTTTTTGTTTTCACAGGGGCGAAAAGTGCGAAACAAGGAGAAACCGTTGCTTCGACGGAAGTCAGAACTTCCTCATGACACTTATACTTTAAAAGCCCTGATCGACCACAAACGAGCTGACGAGTTCCTTCCGACTCCGCCAGATGTAAACAAATGCTAATGAATGGGCAGTGTTTGCTTGGCCATGAGGCAACAGCATTCTCTTTGTGCCACTTGCAACTGACAGAAGTTGAGCAGCATGAAGTGTTTGAAGCTTGGAAAAGTCTGACTTAAACAGCTATCAATTACAAATTGTATAATGAGCATTGCAACGAATGCATTTCATGCTTTGAATAGTTATTTAGCTAAATAAATGCTGTAAATGAAGACCTAGTTTATGATGTTTAAATAGCCCAGCATCATAAAATTAAATAGACAGTACACAAGTGTTTAAACTCGACCAGTGGTTGCAATAAATATTACGCACCGTGGCAGGTGTCTTTGTGTGCTTCACACAATCAAGGTCAATGTAGAGAGAGGAAAGTGGTTTGTTCATCATGTAAGTTGCAAAGATGTCGGCTGTTTTGTACTTGTATAAATGTACCATTGAAACTGGAATGAGTCAATGCAAGTAAAGAGGAATTATTGTATCTAGAACCATAGATTGTGCTGATGGTCTGCCCATACAGAATTGCAGGATCGAGCAAGAGAAGGAGCCGAGTTTCTATTCCAGCATTTGATTCATAATCAAGATTACAATGTCCTATGTAACCAGTGCGGACTTTGCCAAACACAACCGAATTCTGTCCCAGTAAAATTAATAGCTAACTGGCAAGCAAGTTCCATGTACCCAGAAGCTTGACCATCAAGTTCATTCGTTCACGTGGGCTTCGTAATGAATTACTATTACCCGCATGCATTGAGATCTTGTGAACTTGAAAGGAAGTAAGGTTGGGTTGTCTTTGCCCAAAGTCAATAGAAAACCCTTTGTCATCAATGGCAACTCATTTTACTTCTAAAGCAGTTGGGGATGACGGACCTTGTCTCCCATGTTACCACTAGTGATCCGGCCCGCCCAGTTCATTTCAGCCATGCTTGGTGAGATGATGTGTCTTAATATGGCTAAATCATGTGTAATGATTAGTGCTTGTGCCAATACTAGTAGGTTTCTTAATCAAATTGTAAGTGATAACTACACATTTTACAGTATTAACTAGTTTGGGGAAATGAGGTAAATATATTCAAGTTTCAGGAATAGCAGGAGAAACTGTATGGGTGGAAGTACAGAGCGGCAATGTTTAAAGAAATATCTAAGTCCTGGTTGACAATATTTGTTGTGTAGCCTATAGTATATGTTCTCGCATAATATTCATTACCACTATATAATATTGTGGCCTTTACATGCCGTACTCTTAAGCAGTGGTAAGCTTTGCTTTATGCCAGTGAACTTCTCGTTATTATTATTAGTGTTGCCACCAATAGAAACATGAGTTAATCTGTGTCATACGATCGATCCAAACTGTTGATTTGATAAGTTGAGTGGTTCCATTATTTTCAAGATTGGAGGTGATTGGGTATTACCACCCTCAAGGCTGTGCTTGCAAGGTAGTGGCATTGCCCTTGGTAGTAATGAAGTACTTTTAAGATGGTTGGAGGTACTCGAAAAATACGTTGTCAGTTGCCGTGTACCTGATGCTACAGCTTGAAACTCTTAAACGTAAATTTAAAACACAAAATCCCTGAGAAAGATATACCAAATTTTTTTAGTGAAAAATATTTAAAATTTTGAATCACTTGATATTTTGCACAGATGGTGATAAAATGGTTAGTGCTTGTGATTTTTTCATTCCTCGGTACCTCTTCACAGATGGTTTTGTGTTACCCTCTTAAAATTCTGTTTGTTTTGTGTCACTTAGTTTCTATTATAATATATGCGGTATGAATGTGTCGTCAGTTTTCCACGTCCAAGAGTTAAAAAAGTTTTGTGTTGGTATTGTGGCTATAAACATTTGCTGTGTGATGATATCATGTTACCTCCTTAAAATTCCGATTATTTTGTTTCATTTAGCTGGTACTATTGAAGTATATACAGTATGAGTATGCCATAAATTTTCCACATGTGGGAGTTTTATGTTAGTATTGGCTTTTGAACTTTGCTGTCATAGGTTAGAAGTTCTGAGGGTCATTGTTCATTTTAACTAACATCTGCACACAAAATTTTTGATGGCATATACTTAGTTTTCCTTTCAGTGTTGTTTTAAACTTGTAAAAAGTTTTAAAAACCTGGCTAATTAATATTTGCATTTGACAGTAATGAAATTCATATACATTGCAGATGTGTTTACTCTCCTTTTTATAGCAGTTTATGTATCTTTAAATAGAACAGTGGAAAAAATTATAATTCTGATAAATATAATTGTTCACAAATTTACCATATAAATTTAATGTGTTTGATAATGATTTATTGGTTAACCCAACAAATAAATTAAACAATTCTTATTCTTTTATATCAAAAGATTATGTTCTTTGTATTTTCCGCATTTGCTCATTTTGATACATCTGAGTGGGACAAGGTTGATAATTGTACAGATATTCCAAATTCAGGAGTTTGTCAGTAGGAAAAGTTGTATCATAAGAGGGAATGAATAGAAGGAAGGTTGCAGTACGTATAATTATAAGAACTCATCCTTTATGTTGTTGCTTCTGGATGTTCTTAACTTTTATTACGATTGTGTCCCCTTTCAGTTATTATAGAAAGAAATATATTGAAGTATGTCCTCTCAAATTATAAAAGTAAAATGGATTACAAATATATTCTGCACACTGAGTTTGGCGGCAGAGATTTATTGAAGTGTCAGGCAAGGGGCAGCTAGTTATACTGTACATGCATAATATTTATGTTAGTGTCTGTGCTGTTCATTGATTGAACATTCTAATTTACAATAAAAGGGAAGTCCAAGTGATTCTTGGATGACAAACTGTGAAAGTGATAAGCGATAGTTTAACGTTGTGTTTGGTTTGACAGTTGTAATTTGTTGGAATAAGACCATTTGTATTTCTCATTGAAATGACATTCATTTGCAATGAAGGTGCGATCGAACAGTTTCTGTTGTTGTCGTCGGTCATCATGTATGTTGCTTATGATGATGGAGGCACATAATATTCTTTTGAGGCTTCTCTGAACCATAACCAAAAATATAGAATGCCCCATAATTGTTCATCCAGAAAGAATTATCTATCGCATAACAACTACTGCATATGCAGATGTGAAAAATTTACAAGATAATTAAAGAGTGGTGATATTTTGTTAGTTTTCCAAGTGATCATCATGTTCCAGCAGTGAGCAACCTCCAACCTTGTGTTTCCAAGAATGTTTGGAGTGAATGAGGCAAGCAGGTACAATGAGTTGCTAAAGTTCAGGCAGTCGTTGGCTATAAACATTGTTTTTAACCTGCCCCATGGTCATGTGTTTGTATGCACTGCTGTCAACTAACTGAACAAAATTCCTCGCTTCCATTTATTTTTTAACGATCCTGTATTGCTAGTTGTTTGTCCATAATAAATTTTCTTTTTCAGATGAAAAGTTATGGGACACGTAGTGTAGCCAGAATTGCTTTATACATTGATATTCAGCTGCAAGAATTATACTGCCATATTCATAAAATGTGTCATTTACCACATAATAGACGGGCAGGGATGGGGATTAAGGAAATGCTTAACGACTGATTATTTCTCTCTTTTTTTACTTAATTATTTCAACTATAAGGACCTTATTACAATTCCATATCATAAAAATTTCAGTTAAGGAGCACCCACAAGACATTTTCTGAAACACCAACTTCTATTTTTGAGTCATTTGTGAAGCTGTTCTTAAAAACTGTTTTTGGTCCTGGCATTAAACTGCATCTTTTCTGTAGTTGAGGAATGGGTTGTGTATTCACCTCTTGATTGCTAAATATTGTAAGAAATATGTGATTTAACATTTTTGGGTTAAGTGCCGTGTTTTCAAGTGGACTGAAGTGTTTACACGGTTATTATACTATACTTAACCGATTGATTTGCATGTATCTGTATGGCAAAATTTAGGGGTTACCAAAGTGGAAATATCTCTTAAGAAAAGTTATCCATCAAAATTGTAACATTAAAGACTGAAGAAATGAGAAAAGACAAGTATAATAATCTTTCAAGGCTTTATATATTTTCAGGGTGATTTGTATATGAGGATGTATCATGTACATGATGTTTCTGATCAGTTTATGCAATTCTTCGCCATTTTTATTAGCACCTATTTTGAAAACTGACACCTCTTTTAAACATGAAGATGACTGTTTCTGGAATGTTGCGCCATGTGTCTGGTAGAAGTTTATCAGTGTTCCAGAGGAGTTGCTTACTGTCTCAATCATCAGGATGATGAGTAAAGTCACTGCCCTGATGATGAAGACAGAAAACACCTTTTATATGCTGCCGTGAGAGCCTGAAATCTCACCCGTTTAAACATGCTACACCTACGATCTTTCTTTGTTGTATTATCATTTTTTCTTGCCAGAAAAGATGATGCGGCAGCTTTGGTAGATGCACGTGTGTTTGGAAATGATAGCCTCTTGTCAAAATCTACACATTATGTATTGTACTTTTTATGGCTGGGGAATGAACAATTTTGTTACAAGAATACAACAGGTTTTCTTTGCATGGTCCCTAGAAAGGTGTTACTGACAAAAGAGATAGTAGACAATTAAAATACTTGCTTCAAATTGGACTGTGATTTCTTGGTTGTTGCGCCATGTAGTCTGGTAGGAATTTACTGACGTTTCAGAGGTCCTTGCTGCCTCCGTCATCAGGACGATGATGATGGGGGGCAGTAAGGACCTCTGAAATGTTGGTAAATTCCTACCAGACTACATGGCGTAACAACCAAGAAGACAACCATCTTCAGACTCACTGCTGTGAAAACCTAAAATCCTACTTACTGGACTTACTTATTGAGTAAATGAGCAAGTTGGTCAGAAATAGTCATGTTATGTACAGTGTGAAGGCTGTTGACATTATCCTTTTTTCAAAATTGCAACACAATTAAAATATCTAGGAGAATCACTTAGATTAATGATCAGTAAGCACATACACGCAGGTAATGTAAACTTTGTTATGTGGCTGTAGGTCATAATTCTAATGTAATATTCCGTTAACTTTATAGTAAGATTGCCTTGTTACATCTTTTTCTGTCATTGCTTTTTTATTACAAATCTTCTTGTACTCTTATGTTTTGTGACTTGGGCTTATGATAGGAATGGTTACTTCTGTAAGTACGATGTTCAAATGTTGCATAGTGTGTGTGTGTTTGACCGAGATTAATCCATGTAGAATTCCAAGCATGAAAGTGCAGGTATCATAATTGAGCACTTAATGTCAAAAGCCAGATGTGGCGCTTTTCAGTTTAATGGCGAGCAGTCTCTTGCATTGTGGAATTCTCGTTCAGTTTATACTGCTCTAGCTGCTGTGAGCCCACATTGTATTGAAGTTCCAAGTTTTCCGTCGACACTTGCGTGTTTGATTAGCAATTGGTATGCAACGATGAGTCCTAACGATAAAGAATGTAGTACCTCCTTCCTGTTTTCTGTAAACTAAAATTGTTATGTGAATAGTTCTGAGTGGAGTGTGTGAGTGTAGCGCAGGAAGTAGTATGTGTGCATGTACACATACATAATATAAACATATAACTATTTTGTGTACCTTTTGAGGCATATTTTTCCCCCCAACCAACAATGGGAATAACTGCAGTTATCTTTTGTAGTCTATCAGTATTGTATCTTAAAAGAGAGAGGTGCAATTAAGATTGATCTGAAAGGAGGGGGGGGGGCAAGCAGGTACAATGAGTTGCTAAAGTTCAGGCAGTCGTTGGCTATAAACATTGTTTTTAACCTGCCCCATGGTCATGTGTTTGTATGCACTGCTGTCAACTAACTGAACAAAATTCCTCGCTTCCATTTATTTTTTAACGATCCTGTATTGCTAGTTGTTTGTCCATAATAAATTTTCTTTTTCAGATGAAAAGTTATGGGACACGTAGTGTAGCCAGAATTGCTTTATACATTGATATTCAGCTGCAAGAATTATACTGCCATATTCATAAAATGTGTCATTTACCACATAATAGACGGGCAGGGATGGGGATTAAGGAAATGCTTAACGACTGATTATTTCTCTCTTTTTTTACTTAATTATTTCAACTATAAGGACCTTATTACAATTCCATATCATAAAAATTTCAGTTAAGGAGCACCCACAAGACATTTTCTGAAACACCAACTTCTATTTTTGAGTCATTTGTGAAGCTGTTCTTAAAAACTGTTTTTGGTCCTGGCATTAAACTGCATCTTTTCTGTAGTTGAGGAATGGGTTGTGTATTCACCTCTTGATTGCTAAATATTGTAAGAAATATGTGATTTAACATTTTTGGGTTAAGTGCCGTGTTTTCAAGTGGACTGAAGTGTTTACACGGTTATTATACTATACTTAACCGATTGATTTGCATGTATCTGTATGGCAAAATTTAGGGGTTACCAAAGTGGAAATATCTCTTAAGAAAAGTTATCCATCAAAATTGTAACATTAAAGACTGAAGAAATGAGAAAAGACAAGTATAATAATCTTTCAAGGCTTTATATATTTTCAGGGTGATTTGTATATGAGGATGTATCATGTACATGATGTTTCTGATCAGTTTATGCAATTCTTCGCCATTTTTATTAGCACCTATTTTGAAAACTGACACCTCTTTTAAACATGAAGATGACTGTTTCTGGAATGTTGCGCCATGTGTCTGGTAGAAGTTTATCAGTGTTCCAGAGGAGTTGCTTACTGTCTCAATCATCAGGATGATGAGTAAAGTCACTGCCCTGATGATGAAGACAGAAAACACCTTTTATATGCTGCCGTGAGAGCCTGAAATCTCACCCGTTTAAACATGCTACACCTACGATCTTTCTTTGTTGTATTATCATTTTTTCTTGCCAGAAAAGATGATGCGGCAGCTTTGGTAGATGCACGTGTGTTTGGAAATGATAGCCTCTTGTCAAAATCTACACATTATGTATTGTACTTTTTATGGCTGGGGAATGAACAATTTTGTTACAAGAATACAACAGGTTTTCTTTGCATGGTCCCTAGAAAGGTGTTACTGACAAAAGAGATAGTAGACAATTAAAATACTTGCTTCAAATTGGACTGTGATTTCTTGGTTGTTGCGCCATGTAGTCTGGTAGGAATTTACTGACGTTTCAGAGGTCCTTGCTGCCTCCGTCATCAGGACGATGATGATGGGGGGCAGTAAGGACCTCTGAAATGTTGGTAAATTCCTACCAGACTACATGGCGTAACAACCAAGAAGACAACCATCTTCAGACTCACTGCTGTGAAAACCTAAAATCCTACTTACTGGACTTACTTATTGAGTAAATGAGCAAGTTGGTCAGAAATAGTCATGTTATGTACAGTGTGAAGGCTGTTGACATTATCCTTTTTTCAAAATTGCAACACAATTAAAATATCTAGGAGAATCACTTAGATTAATGATCAGTAAGCACATACACGCAGGTAATGTAAACTTTGTTATGTGGCTGTAGGTCATAATTCTAATGTAATATTCCGTTAACTTTATAGTAAGATTGCCTTGTTACATCTTTTTCTGTCATTGCTTTTTTATTACAAATCTTCTTGTACTCTTATGTTTTGTGACGGGCTTATGATAGGAATGGTTACTTCTGTAAGTACGATGTTCAAATGTTGCATAGTGTGTGTGTGTTTGACCGAGATTAATCCATGTAGAATTCCAAGCATGAAAGTGCAGGTATCATAATTGAGCACTTAATGTCAAAAGCCAGATGTGGCGCTTTTCAGTTTAATGGCGAGCAGTCTCTTGCATTGTGGAATTCTCGTTCAGTTTATACTGCTCTAGCTGCTGTGAGCCCACATTGTATTGAAGTTCCAAGTTTTCCGTCGACACTTGCGTGTTTGATTAGCAATTGGTATGCAACGATGAGTCCTAACGATAAAGAATGTAGTACCTCCTTCC